TCGAACAAACGCTTCGCGTATAGATGTTTCAAGGTTTACCAGGTTATCAGTGGTACTTCTGTTCCTACGAAAACAACTCTCATGTGGTGAAAAGTATTCCTTTTTCTCTAAGAGATACATTAGACGCCTGTTTACCATTCTCTCGAAAAGTTTACAGAGACAACTTGCCAAAGAAATTGGTCTGTAATTAAAGGGATTCTTGTGATCTTTACCTAGTTTGGGAATGGGAATAATGATAGATAGCCTCCAAGAGTCAGAAAAAGTATGTTCTGTCCATATTCTGTTAAACAGATGCAAGAGATTAGAAAAAGAATTGTTTGACAGATTTTTAATCATGCTGTAGTGAATTTTATCTGGGCCTACAGCACTATTCCCCGAGCGAGAGATTGCTGTATGTAATTCAATTCTAGTGAATAGCACATTATATTCCTCATTAGATGAGGAGTGAAAGTTTAAACACTGTTTTTCTCTTTGGGCTTTATAAGCTTGAAAATTCCTTGAATACACAAAATTGCTGGATTAAGCAGAAAATGTTTCACCCAATAAATCAGCAATGCCCTGTATATCGCTGATTATTGTGCCATTATTTTCCAGCATGGACAGAGAGTGAGAAGAATATTTCCCATTAATTTTATGGATTTTATCCCAAACTGCTTTTGAACTAGTGGAAGATGTTATGCTAGAAACATACTTTCTCAAAGAATCTCTTTGGCTTTGCCTCCTTATTCTTCTGGCATTTGCCTTTGCTTTTTGAAAAGCGACCAAATTTTCAGCAGTGAAATATCTTCTAAAAATCCCCCATGATTTCTTTTGTGCTTTAAATGCTGCCTCACAATTCTGGTTCCACCATGGTTTAGGATGTTTTGGATATCTAGTTGATGTCTTCCCCATTGTTTTTTCTGCTGCCTGAATGATACTCGAAGTGACAACCTCAACTGCATCATTGATATCAGCAGTATTGACCATTTCCTCAGTGATGTTAGCCAAAGTGGAAAATGAAGGCCAATCTGCCGTTTCAAGTTTCCAGCGTGGTGGACGGGCTGTTTCACAGCTTTCTCTGCCTCGATATTTTAGAAATATTGGGAAGTGGTCACT